CCAATCGAGGTGGTTCTCGAGTGCTTTGCAGAAAATTTCAATGTGAGAAGGTGTGAAGCCACTGGCCGCTCGGAATCCATATCCCTCACTCCAAGTGGTTTGCGATCCCGCGTAATCAATGCGGTAAAGCGTCAATGGAAAGTCGTAAAAGTCGAGCTCGTACTCTTCCAATATTCCCATTATGTCAACAAGCGATTCCTCGGCTGTTTGTGGTTAGTGGACACCACTCGGCGAGTACGCTTTGGGACAAAGCAAGAGACAAAGCAAAGGCGGTGCATACGACCAAACATGTTATATTTTACGTTGATTGCGCGATTCGAAAGTCCTCAGTAAGAACAGTTCGCTGATATTATATCCAAGCAGTATGTGATGGAGCCTGAGTTAGGAGAATGGAATACGTAGGAGAGAGGGCAGTTCGTTTGGGCCATTTCCGGTGCGTCATCCGATACTCATCATCCCGAAACAACTTACTCAGTACTTCATCAGGATCTCATTGAGGCTCGTATCTTACCGGCGATATCCTATTGTAGCTCTATTCTGCTCACCATCAAATGCTCCGGGATGCGATGGAGGCAGAGTTACCCTAACTTAGCCTAGCTAGCTATTCCACCAATTCCAACAATTGTAACATATCAACTGTAGAATCAACAGGCATCTCGGTGAGTTGATTATAGCACAGTCTCCTAGGACTGATATACCCATGCCAGGCGTGCAAACAAAAGCTAACACAACTCTCCCTCTGCGGATATTTGGCTATCCATAGTTCTATATAAGAAAGACATAATAACATTGTTTGATTGGGTTACACCAGATCCTCGACTACAAGGACATGAAGCAAAACGAGACTATCAACGCCTTCATAATACTTGCATGTTGTGGCAGCATAAAGCAAGCACATGGAACGAGGCTCAATTATGGACATGGGAACGCAGAGGTTCTGGGCACACGAGATAAGAGAATCATTGGGAGGGTAGAGAGGTCCCGAATTTCAAGGTGCGATCCTATTGTTTAACTTTGAGAATTTCCGACAAGTCTGGCAATGCCGACGGTTAACGTGGCTATTCTTATAGTGCGCCATCCAAACCGGAATAAAATCATTCAGCAATTCGTCCCATCTTATTAGAACCCATAGCTTACCGACGACATTCTACTGTAGTCTTGTTCTCTGCACAATACACTCCTCAGGTATGCGGTGAAGGAAGAGATACTCGGACTTGTATTGAGAGGGCTGCAACGAGACAGAAATGTTGAGCCTGCCAAGGAGATCCTGAACCCCAAACACCCTCACAATCCCAAAATCGTCGCCATTCCTATACGTATCTTCATCCACATAGATTTCATTGAGCCAGCATGCCCCATGATTGCGGTCAATCCATTGGTTGGCCCAGTTCAAGGCGTGGGGCTTGTTACCAAACGTGGAGATGAAGGGGCTCTTGTATTGTCGATGAGACCAGTCGAGATGATTCTCAACTGCATTGCAGAGACCTCCAAGGCGAAGAGGCGTGAATCCACTGGCCGCTTGGAACCCATACTCCCGGCTCCAGGTCGTTTGCGAACCCGCGTAATGAATGCGGTAAAGCCTCGATGGTATCTCGTTCCAGTCGAGTTCGTAATTGTCTAATACGCTCATTGTCGACAAAGAATTCGTGGGTTGTGGTGAGTGCGCTTTCGGACAAAGCAGTAGACAAAGCAAGCCAAATGGGCGCCCTCAGGTTGGTTGTATCTCACGAAAAGGATCCAAAAAGTTATCAATAAGAAAAGTTCGCTAATACCTTATCTAGGGAATGAGACGGAGCCTAAATTATGGAATACGTAGGAGAGTAGGATAGTCCAAACGGCCTATTAAATGGAAGTGGAAATTATAACGTGGCTAGAAGAGTTTTGGAGGCAAAGAACATGGTCCAGAAGATTTCATCTTTGAAACGATTATTATGCTCCGCGGAGTTGACAGCTAACGTGGCTATTTCCGGTGCGTCTTCCGACACTCACCGTCCTGAAACATCTGGCTCAGTAACTAGTTAGCTTCTTATTGAGACTCTTATCTCACCAATGACATTCTATTGTAGCCTTGTTCTGTTCACAATCACCCGCTCCGGGATGCGATGGAGGCAGAGATACTCGGAGTGATATTGGGAAGGGTCTAGCGTGACGGAGATGTCGAGGTCTTCGACAAGGTCCTTGACTCGAAACACCCTCACACCATCATCTTCATCGATGATCATCTCCTCAACCCAGCAATATCCATCATTCTGAGCTACCCAACGCTTCGCCCATCGGAAAGCATGTCGCCTGGCACGAAACGTAGAAATGAACGGACTCTTGTGTTCTCTGTGGTGCCAATCGAGGTGGTTCTCGAGTGCTTTGCAGAAAATTTCAATGTGAGAAGGTGTGAAGCCACTGGCCGCTCGGAATC